TTTAGTGCCGTCACAGAAATATCGAGAAGAAAGGTGATATTCTATTTGTCGATGCCGCTAATCAGGCACTGGAGGAGGTGGTGCAGTGGAAAGTGGCGCCCTTCAACACGGATGGGCGCGGTCTCGAATCGAGGATCGATAGCCGCCTAGGCCAGCCACGCCTTCCAACCCTCCGGCCGGGGCTGGCCATTCGGTACCAGACTCGTCTAAGAGGACAAAAGCACAGCCTTGTACATCTGCTAGCCACTACAAGTCATTGCATAAGCCTCATGCGCATTCAATAGCCAGTGGCTGCTTTCATAGTCCACGATTTGGCGAGCGACCAGTAGCGCGTCTGGTCGCGTGGGCGCATCCCTCGGACGGGATTGATTAACGCTCCAAAACTTTATCTTTTTTCGATATCAGGCTTGTGGCCTATTTAAACCTCCCTATTTTTCAAACTTCTACGTCCTCTTCCAATATATTCAATGCAATCGTAGTAATCACCAGTAAAAATAGAACGAGTACAGCTCTTACTTCGTCAAGCATCACATAGTTGTTTACTTTCAACGGCAAGAAAGTAATAAGGTGATCTGAATACTAATATCAACACTTTGTAGCTTGCGCCTCTCTTGAAGTACAGCAAACCACGAATGTTGTTGAATTTGCTCAAATGTGTTCCGGCAAGAGAGTGTGGAAGCCACAGGGAACAGCGGTGATCGAAATCGACATTTCATCACTGGAGCAGGAAATCATCGACGAGCTTTTCCGTAGCGTAACCTACATAAAAATGTGCATCATCCTTCGACAATCACAAATTCAGTACCTACGTATGCCAAATTTGATTCAATTGTACTCATGCGAGCCAGGTAGGTAGCAGGATTTCCTGTACCGTTCATGTCTCATACTGCTGTGGTGGTTCTAGGTCGACCAGCATTCACCATAGAAGGAAATATGCAACTTGAAGTAATCGAAGTGTCACCAATGTTTGAATGGCAGATCAGTTATGAGCCCTTCACGATTATATACAATCCAGCGTTACGACAATATCCTCCGTTGCAACAATGCAAGTACTGCGTGTATGAGCACAATACAAGTAAGTCTTTTTTCGGAAATGAATGTTGTTGAATTTGCTCAAATGTGTTCCGGCAAGAGAGTGTGGAAGCCACAGGGAACTGCGGTGATCGAAATCAACATCTCATCACTGGAGCAGGAAATCATCGACGAGCTTTTCCGTAGTGTAACCTACATAAAAATGTGCATCATCCTTCGACAATCACAAATTCAGTACCTTCGCATGCCAAACCTGATTCAATTGTACTCGTGCGAGCCAGGTAGGTAGCAGGACTTTCTGTACCGTGCATGTCTCATACTGTTGTGGTG